TGCTTTGAGTTAATTCACATACTTTGGGCCTACTACCAAGTTAATACACATTTTCATGACTTTTTTACTTAAAAAATCAGATAATAAATAAACACTTCTTTAAAGCCTGATGAAGATACAACAAACAATACAGATAAATCAACTATTGGATATGTGAGAGGTTGATTCCTAAGTTGTAAAAGATGTTGAGAATGAGGTATTGAATTTAGGTATTTGTGAGGCACTATTATTAACAGAAAAAAGTATAATTACATCAAAAATAATTACCCATTTTTGAAAAAGTTTGAAAGAGTACATATTAGCGTTCTTTACCCATAGAAATGGGACGAAAACGTAAAATTTTTTTATTAACAGGTATATTGTACGAGGGTGTATAATACATATATATATTTTTAATTTATATAGTATGACAGAATTGGTAATGGACAATGCAACAATAGAATATATAGTGGTATTTAATCCACATATTGCATTCTTGTATCTATATATAAAAGTCCTACTCTAACTCTAATACTCTAATTTATTCATTTTTCCACTTGCATTTTTTTCAAGTATCCCAGTTAACTATTAACACTTTATCTGCAACCAATTCTTCTTGAACTTGTACTTGCTGATTATAGATTTCTAATATATCTTCTGGTACTACCTCTTCTTCTACCCATATAGTCTCACTACTTTTGTTACTGACCAAGAATTCACCATGATGATAGTTGTGAACATACACTACTGGGAATTTTTGAGTATCCAAAGCAGCCTCAACAGATAAATTAAATTCCTTATGCAAACATTTTCTAGTATAGTTTTTTAAAGTTTTTTTTAAAGCAAAGTACCGATTACAGTAAGAACAAATGTATTCATTGATCGATTTATTAACAGTTGGGCAATACCAATCAAAAGAAAGGTATCGTAGATTCATATCTGGAGGAGTTAGTTTTCTTTCCATTAATACAGATAAAAGAAAAGAGCTAAAGTGGGTTGTATCATCAAATTCATTTATCTTTGCCGCGCAAATATTATAGGGTGTTTGCTGAACTACAAGTGGCGAAGGGAAAAACCAATTCAAAAGAAGTTGCCTGATCCCACTATAAAAAGGCTTACAGCAACTTGGATCATCACACTTCACGACTTGGGTAACATAATGACAAGTTATTACATGTTTCTCAATCCAAGTTGCTGACTTTTCACTTGGGCTATAATGTTCATTAGGAGGATCTATATACTTAACAAGAACTGAGTAGTTGTATCTTTCCATGTTGATATTAAAATATCTGCAGCTGCTTTAAAATTACACTTTTCTAACTCTTCATCGTTTGTTTTTAGCTGTGCATCTAAATATAATCCAAATGTATCATGTGGAAGTATGACGCCAGCTAAGTCATGACTTAAAGGCGCCATTCACCTTTCGACTGGATTAGATGCACTCTGGTGTGGTGCAAAGTATACCACAATTATGGTATCAAGATTATACAGTATTTATCAAAATGTTCGATCATCATTTGAATTGTTTTTCTATATTTAGGGTTCTCGTTGGGACCACCGTCACTTATTAGCACCACTACAGGTTTAGGCTGTTCATTTGTTGTAGTGTAGTTACGCAATTTCTCCTCATTTATCAAGTCATCAAAATCTTTACTATGAGAATAAGTGGTACTGCTATCGTGTTTACCACTACGGATCCTTATAAATATTGGACCCGAATATGTTACTGCTTTAGCTTGCTCATACTTACTTTCTTGTATATCCAATATTGCATAGACTGAAGGAATCTGTTTATGTTTTTTAGCAACAACCCAATCGTGATCCAGCAGTTCTACTCGGTATTCCAGCCTCATAAGAATCGGTGCTATATGATTTAATTAATTATGAAGTTTTATCTTTTTATTTATTATATTTTAAATAGTAATTCTATTTTATTTTAATTTATAACAACCTTGTTTGTTGGCCGCGGCTAAACCAAGAGGTATTCGCGCTTTATCATCTTGAGAGATTACTAAAGCACTCTTGGGACCCAATAACGATACTATTTCTTTTATATTTCTTATCAAAGCAGCACAGAAATGAGTATCTTCATGACTTCTTCTTGCTGTGTTTTGCGACCTTAGAAGCTTTACTGGCACAGTTTTAACATGTCGCTTTCCTTCTTCAGTACTATACCATTTTGAAATGAGCCTAAAATACGCCGCAGAATGTGACAGGTTATAGTTCATACGTGTTAATGCTTCTTGGAGCTAATCTAAAGTCTTAACAGACCGTACGATTTCTGAACACTATCTTTCATCAGCCTGCCCATCCAGAGAAACAATTTGAACAATAGCTTCTAATAAATCTGGCTGTTGTTCTTCTAAACTTGGGCAACCAGTTGGCCTAACAAGCTGCGTATCGAGACCTGCTTCTTTAAGCTGTCTTTCTATTAGCTAAAGCTTCTGTTTTTTCTGGTCTCTATACTTTTGCTGAGACTGTTTGTGATATTCTAATTTATGCAAAGCTTTTGATGATAATCTAATTTCATATTGAATCTTTTCTTTTCTTTCTTTATCAATATTAGTGATCATCCCTCTTTGGTCTAATATACTAAGTTGCCACAACTTCTCAGTTAGTTGGGCAATTGTATTTTTGAGCTTGGACTGAGCTGGTACTTCCCGACTTTTACTCATTTGGTCTGTAAGTGCAAAGTTAATTGATGATGAATTAAGGTGAGAATCTTTACAAAATAGTTGAGTTTGTTTAATCAAAACATAGCTAATTGATTTTTTGATATCATTTTTAAATACATCGGGATCGAGATATAAAATAAAGCAAATGATAAGGTTCTTTATATTTTTTTTCTTTATTTACAAAAGAAGTTGTTTTTTTAAAGTCAGCACGGTCTAATATTTAATGAGTTTCAAGTAAAAAAATACACACATTTCATCCCTAATAACGCACTGAAATCTAACCTAGAATGGTAGATTTATACAAACAAAAATATGCCATCAATTTTGTTTTCATTAGGAACACGACCAAAAAACAATTATGAAGTCCACTTTGACTTTTTTGGTGTCCATTGAAGCAAATTGCTCTTACCTTTAGATAAAATATTAATAAGCTAAATATGATACTTATATAATGAATAAGGCTATAACAGATTTAGATTTTATTAAAATAGGTTTACAATTTTATATCAACAATACTTATATAATAACAGATTTAGGTTTTATTAAAATAGGTCTACAATTTTATATCAACAATTGAATATATATAGTTTCTTTATATTTTTAAGGTAAATTCGCATTTTTACTTTCTTGCCTGGTCACTACAATCACTAACCAATATGTTCTTTTTTTCTCTTCTAACTTAATATATTATATAAACCAATTATTATCTCTGCCTTTCACGTGTTCTGTACACACTATCGCAAGAAATTCGCTATACACATTATTTTGAGCTGTTGTGTATTTAATTCATTACAGTTAAGCACCCGATTTAGTTTTATCCAATTAATTAAACGCTTCTGCAAGTTGGATTACAATTAGCGATGGTATTTTTTATTGAAGTCTGAAAAAAGAACAGAACTTGGAATTGCGTTTTATTTCGAATATAGTCACTAAATGGTAATAATAAAATAAGCATTTGCTCAAGCATCAATTACATTCAATATTTAAGTTATCGTAATACTTGAGCACTATCTCGATCATAACTAATCACATTTGAGGAAAATATGTAAGCATAATTCAATTATAATACCATTCGTACTATTGAACTTCAATGATTAATTAAATATTGCTATAATGGTTGAATACTATAACAATTATTAGCTAATCGCATCAAGCGTGCTGCTTGAGACTAGAGTTGCAGGTAAAACTAATCTTCAATAGTGCACTGATGGTAAAACTAGAGTTATAGATGAAGCTAATCTTTAATGGTGCACCAGGTGAAACTGGTAAAATTAATTAGTTTCACCTACAACTCTACTTGAAACACTATGAGACACCATTCCTAAATTTGTTGAATAAATCAAAGTTTAATATTACGTTGAATGCACGCATATTAAGAACTTCTCGATCAAATAATTAGTGTAGTAATTACAATACCTTGACAATCGTGCTCCCTCTAATAATATCTAATTCAAATTCAGAGTTGCAAATAGAGTTCAGCTGTTTTTCTTAAATTATAGGATGTCTGGCAGAAAATTAACCGAATGATTTTTATTTAATAAATTGGTGGCCTTTAGGTTTGACACTATTTACTAAAATGCGATATATATTGGAGTACTGGTCATGAACCTAATTATCCCAGACTAGGTAGTAATGTGTAATTTTAAAAAAAAGTTTGGGTCGCAACCCTAGCTGAAATGAAATTCTAAAACATTAGATAAATAGGTATGTTAAACATAAAAAAAAAAAATAACTTTTTACTATAATAAAGCGATTGGTATACTTGTTCCCTTTTTTAAGTGCTGAGTGCAAAATTTGTTCATTTTCCGTTGATTGAAAGGATGTAAAGTTTGTTGTAAGTGTATTTGATTCTCAAGATCGTGCTAAAAAAAACTTGTCAAATAAAAAAAAGTAAAACTATTACCTGAAGGTGAACTTTGTACACGAAAATATAATCATGTTATAATAGATAACGATATGTGACATTTAAATTTTCAATGATGCAAAATATATGCATATATGCATCTGGTACCACCTTTACAATATTCACAACCCCTATTATTTACAACACCCATTTAACGTTAATTATTGATAGCCCCTATAATATAAATACAAATATTACAAAAATATAATTCTTATTTTTAAATATTATCATGTTAAATTTTATTTAAATATTTTAAATAATTAAAAAAATAGATCAGAGACATATTTATAGTAATTATGCAGACAAATTTGCCTGCAAATCTCTACCAATTAAGGGATAGATTATTCAAGCTTTTCAAAAATATTAAAAAATATGTCAGAACTGGTTTTAATAATTTGAGTTTATTACAATTTTATCAAAAATTTTATAAAATAAATTAATGTGATAAGTAATATTCTAGAATTTATCAGAATTTAATTGAATAAATTGAAGTAATAAACTCAAATAATTAAACCTTTCCTTTGATGATTTTACTATTAGGAACTTAAAATACTAACTCTAATATAGACTAACCCTAATATAGATAAAATTTAAAATTTTGTTTATTACATGACAGTGAAAATTTTTTGGCAATACTAAAGACCACAAATGCAGCTATGTTATAGATTTTAATTGCACAAACTAACTAATAGTTGTACATATAAATTTATTATATATAAATAATGCCAACATTATAAAATTTACTATATCTTATATTTTGTAATGTTTTAGATATTTTTTCAAAATTTAAGTTCATATTTTATATTCATCTATTTTTATTTCGAAACTCTTCAAACTATATATCTTTATCTTATATTTTATATTTAAACTAAATTGCAATAAATTTTTTATAATTTCTCTTGCATATCATTTTTGCACAAGTTCTTTATTTAGATTTAATAATTGCACACTTAATAAGGTAGTTTTAAACTAGTGTTCCTATTGAACCTAGGTTCAAAGTTCATGAACATGTTCAAAGTTTTGAATAAAGAAAAAGCATATAATCGC